AGGTAGCTACCTCCCAAATTTCTTGGCATAAATGAGTACCTCCAGTGCTACATCTGTTTGTTGAAAGATTTCAATTTGTAGTCCATCAATTCTTGGAGCCTTGTTCTTTGCCAGTGCCTTCAGTTCCCCTTGAGCTTGCTTCCTTCAGTATGCTATCTCCTGAAATGGTTGAACATCGACCATTGCTTTTTGATAAGTGACTTTCTGTATTCTTTCAATCTTTTGATTACTTTCTGCATCATTCAATATTTTGCTCATTGGCTCCTTCAATATTTCCAGTAAAGGCTTGACTTTTTTCTTCAGTTCTTTCAGCTTGAGAAATGCTGAGCATGTTCTTTTCTTTTGGTTTTGTAACTCCAGATCTTTGCCCATTTCATTAAAATACTTGACTTTGTCTTCTTGAACTGCTATTTGAAAGTTTTTGTTCAGCTATTTTACATTTTCATTTCGTCCATTTGCTTTAACATCTCTGTGCTAGAGATCAAATTTCAGAGTCTCTTATGACACTCATTTTGGTCATTTCTTTCTTTCTTGTCTTTATAATGGTCTTTTCTTTTTGCTTTTTTCCCTGTATAATACTCTTGATGTCATCTTACAACTTTTCAAGTCTTAAGTCATTAGTGTCTAATGTATCAAATTTATTATTGAGCTGATCTCCAAATTCAGGTGGGATATGTTCAAAGTCATATTTTGACTCTTGTGGACTTGTAATTTTCTTCAGCTTCAGCCTGAACTTGCATATGAGCAGTTGATGGTCTGTACCACAGTCAGCCCCTAGTTTTATTTTGGCTGATGAAAAGGAGCTTTCCTACTGTCTCTTTCCACAGATGTAGTCAGTTTGATTTCTGTGTATCCCACCTGTGAGGTCCATGTGTATAGTCATCATTTATGTTGTATACAAAAGGGATTTGCAATGAAGTAATTGTTTTTGCAAAATTCTGTAATGCAATCTTCAGAATCATTTTTATCACCAAGGCCATATTTTCCAACTACTGATCATTCCTCTTTGTCTCCAACCTTTTCATTCTAATTGCTGGTAAAGATCAATACATCTTGATTGCAAGATTGGTCAATTTCAGATGAACAAGTTGGTAGAATTCTCCAATTTCATCATTACTAGCTTTAGTAGTTGGTGTGTAAATTTGAATTATAGTGGTATTAACTGGTCTTCCTTGTAGGCAGACCA